CCGAAAGGAGTTAAAAATATTTAAAAATATATTTGAAAGTTATTTAAAAATAGTTAAGATCAAACTGACATCTAGAAATTAGTGACTAATTCACCCCAAGGATATCTTTGATACCATAAAATACACAAAATATGTGTGGATAGAGACCCAGGAGGTAATATTTGCTCCTGACTTTCTTTGCTACAAAGTCCTATCCTACAGCATGATGAGAAAGTTCCATGAAGGGATCTTACCTTCCTGACAGGCAAATAACAAAAACTTAAGCTTTGCCAACCTTCCCAGACACTGGCCAGCATGCTGTGAAGTCCGGCTTCACAGGTGACGTGTGTGTGACAGTTTATGCCCGCACACAGGCTTGGTGCTTTGTTCTTTACGGGCTGGTGTTCAGCATAAGCTTAAGACAGCAGCAACGGAGCCACCACACGATGCCACCCAGAGCCAGGGCGCCATCTTGGATTTTGTTGACAGACGTAACGAGACATCACCTAGACAAGACTTTTCCTCTGACATTACCACAGAGCCTGAGTCCTTCATATGAGGCCACATTACCCTGTGACCCACTCCACCTTCTCCGTTTATACTAATGAACACAAGCCTCTTCTGAGGGACAGAAGGGACCGTCGTCACATGCAGTATGGCACCATTTACATGAACAGCCAAGGCTGCTTTGGATTCCTTTTCTGGGTTCCCACATGAAGTCATTCCAGTTTTTAAGTGCAAGTTGTGACAAGGAGCCAAGAACAAACGCTCGATGATATACAATGAAGGGAAAGTCAAACAAGTCATCCCAGGACTCCCCAAACGTGGGAAATAAACACAGTAATCAAAACCAAGAGACTGAGGGAAAGAGCTTCACGGGTCAACCATGTGGCAGAAACATGAACCGCGAGCCTCAACTGAAGCCAAACTCCAGCTGTCGGAACCCACCGGAAAGCCGGGAGGGTGCGGCGCTCACTCTCCCCTGCGGGGCACCATTTGCAGGCAGGCACCTCGGACGGGGCAGGGGAGGCCGGCGCGCTGCCCGACTCCGGAAACAGGGAGGCCTCCAGAGCCCACTGCTGGCGCCCGTGAAGCATAGGGCCGTGGGAACAGTGTCCAGAACCTGCAGGAAGGGCAGGTCTGCAAACTCGCCTCCTGCGTCAGACCCGACGTTCACTATTTCAACCCTCTGCTGTGATGCTCGAGACCCACTGCCCCTGACTGCCTGACGTTGGCTACACGTCATAGGGGCTCACACAGTCGGAGATAACTGCCAGATGCCTATCGGGCGGGGGTCCTCCGCCCCTGCCAGCCAGGGAGAAGGGGTCTGCGATCCCAGGTCCTGAGCCTGAGCACAGGAGGCGGTCACAGTGAGACCAGGAAGGACACCACGGGGTATATAAAAAGGGGGGCCTCTAGAGAAGGCATCTCTTTCCACCCTCTTCCTTACTGCCTAACACGTGACCCTGCTTCCAGATTTATAGGCCACATGCCTATGCCTCCCGCGGACCCCAAGGAACACGGAACTAGGGCGTTCTTCTAACCTGGCACACATCTCTGCTGTGTATGTGCACTGTGCTGGTTTGCTAGGGTGAGACAGGCTGAGAGGGTGACAGACCAGACCCTTCCTGGTCTGCAAGCGGCTGTCACTTCACCAAATGACGGGCCGTATCTCTTGCCCACCGTGACCCCCACTCCAAGAACAGAGCCCACCTGGCACGAGGGTATGACCCAGGCATTCCCGGGGCCTGAATGAACGAAAGGCGGAGGGACCGTGATTCCCTGCCAGGCTCCAGCACGGGAAGGGTCCCTGGTGTGGCACACGCTCAGGGAGCCTCGGCTGCGCGCAGAGTCAGCCAGCGCCTTCATATCTGAAACACGCTAGAGTGGTCGTGGACAGCTGGAGAGCCATGCCCGGACCACAGCGCACCTGCAGGCCCCACACCACTCACTCCACACCTGCTGAGGCCCCAGAGCTACGAAGACAACAGAAGCCAACCAGACAGAGAAATCTCATTCACTGGAGGAGAGCACTCCCTGCTAGTCCACCCTCTGGGAAGTGACGACCCTTTTCTCCACCTGCATTTCACTTGCCCAAGGCCGGCTCTGGCCACAGGCACACAGGTCAGCCACCTCTGAGCAGAGCAGATGGGGGGACGACAGCTGTCACTCTGCCTTTCTTAAAGACCTGAAAACCTTTAACTGCTAAAACCACCAAAAGCCTGAGAAGCAAACGTGCTCTGTCTTTGCTCCAATTACCTCGTTCTCTTTAAGTAAAATGCAATTTGAAACCACAGAGGTTTTGGAGCTGAAGGGAGCACATTAGCATAAATATTGGCTGGCTGGAACTCCCATTTTTCTTGCACTCACAGAACTGAAGTGCTTATTTTTTTTTCCTTCTTCTTTTCCTGCCTCATGCATTTTCTGATCATCAGCAAAAAAACGAGTTTTGTCATCAGAAAACGGCTGTGGCCTGGCTGTTGCGTTTCGCTGCTGGCAGCTATCGGGGAATTGGTTGGGGACAACCACTGTGAAAACTAGTGTAGGAGAGCCAAAGAGCCAGGCCCCGAGGACAGGCTGGACCCCGGCCAGCGCGTCTGTGAGCAGAGCCGGGGCAGGTGACCCGGGACCGCGGGCTGATCCCTGGAGCTCGCCGGCACCAAGAGCCTTGCAGGCGTCTTCACGGGCACCCACCAGTTCACGGCCTTTCTGCCAGGCCTTCCTGCTCCTTCCTGATCCCTCCTGACAAAAACAGGCTCACATGCAGGCAGGCATCCCCAAACCCACAACCCACTTGCGGTGGACCGCGGTGGGGGGGTGGGGTGGGGGTGGGCAACGCTCGGTCCGGGGGTGTGATTCCATGTCATGATGGGAATCCTGACACGGTCCTGGTTTCATCTCTTCCTCGATCTGGTCCATCATCTGCGGGGATCCAAGGTCCGTGCCGCCTCGCCCAGAGCTGACCAGCGGTCCCTCCACTTGTCCGTATCACCTTGGCCTTTCAGAGGCATCCCTTGTCCTTCCACCTGCCTTGAGCACTATCATTCCATAGCGACAAATGTCTTGTCTGTGAGACAGACCAAACTGCCACTTCAGCTGGGCCAGATGTGCACCGCTCACTTTCGGGAGGCAGGGCCCAGGCGCCGGAGGCGAGCTGCTTTAAATGAAAGTGGGTTCCAGCTGCTGAGGACACCTGCCAGGGGCCTAGGACAAGGCCCACCCAGATCTGTGCCCTTCCTGTGTCCGTCCTTCACACTCAAGGTGCCGCGCGCCTTCTTTCCCGCTCTACCCGCCTCCGTCCCCAGGCACCACTGACAGCCCAGGCCTTCTGTGGGCAGGCTGCCCGCGCCTCCTTCCGCACCGACCATGGGGGACTCCCGGGGATCTCCACACACCTGCGCCGGCCCCATCACGGCACGGAGACGCTCACCCCTCTTCAGTCCTCGACCTGCCTGTTCGTCTCTCCCTCGACCGGAAGCGCATGAATGATGGGACCCCCGCTGAACGCCCTGTGGGTTCCATGCTCCCAAGTAAAACCCACAGCAATGGCCCCATCAGAGCTTCTTTTCAGAGTTTCTTCTCAACCACAACTTCAATTTTCTCTCTAAAAGAGATTTTTGCTTTCTGAACGTGTAAGTCTTTAACTACTAATTCTGCAGATGGCCTAGAAAAGCTAACACGCTCAGCCTCTGCTACAACCATCTCACTCTCTTTAAGGAGAAAGACGTCGGAAACCACGCGGAGGTCCCCGTGTGGAGGGAAGGCATTTGCACGGTGTCACTCAGAGGGCCAGAGAAGGCCACCCTAGAGCTACAGGGCTACCCAGTCCTGCCTCACCTGTCAGGCAGGCCAGACCTCTCTTCCGTTCTTTTGAAACTGTGACATTCTTCTGTACCCTTGAGTCGCCTCCAGCCGAGGGAACCGCACCCTGTCCCGACACCCAACTGTGCAGCCGCGGCCGTGCTCCCACAGGAGGCACTCCTCCCTTTGCCCAAGCCAGAGCAAGGGGCCCTTCCCATCTGTTTGTCACTCCTTGTGCTCCCAAAGCGCTCTGCTCTGCACCCTGACTGTCCCCCCACACCGGACCGCCAGCCTAGAATACACCATCTCCCCAGCAGGGCCGTGAAGCCCCAACAGGCCGGGGGCAGGGATGGCTTGTGCTCGGACACGGCACTTGGCACAGGGCCTGCCTCCAAGAAGTGGCCTTTGGTGTTTGGTACATGTGTTTGGTACATGAACGGATTGTTGGGCCCCGGGAATTAAAACACATTCAATGCGAAGAAGAACATCTATGTGGGGTCCTCTTTCTTAAGAGAAAACACTGATACGTGTGAAAAGAGCAAAGATCACGTCCCAAGAACAGTTCAGAATAGTTCCAGAATTCTAAGCCATGTCCCCACGGGCTCTGTGGCAAGTCTATAAAAACGGACCAGAGAAGAAAACCTCCGTCAGTGTAACGAGGACTCACCTCTCTCTGTGGGTGGACCCCGAAAGACAGGGAGAGAAATGGGAAAGAACCATTGAAACGATGCATGGCTTTGCCCACAACACCAGCTTTAGGCAAGTGCCTGGAGCCCACCATGCAGTGAGCCGGTGCCTCCTGCAGGCAGACGCCGTATGCATATGACCCACGGAGGGGAAAGGCCATGCCGCCCCCGACATGGCCAAGGGGCAGCCATCCCTAACAGAACTTTCTCTCACCCATCCAGGCTTACTTATCTCTCGAGAGAAACCTTCAGTCTGCAGGCCCGGGCCCCCACTCCACACAGACAGCCCTTAAACCCACTGCAAGATTTCACAGAACTTGGGCAAGGAAGGTCTAGATGCCCCTCCACAGGCCTGCGGGCCTGGCTGGTCTTTGCCTGACCAGCTCCCGCCCCAGGAAAGAGAGAAAGGAAGGAAGCGCGTGTAAAATGTCACCTCAAGTGATTCAAATTTCTGTTATGTCCTTCAGAAATCGTGTCTGTGTCCGGGACGCCTGTGGAAACGCATGGCCGCAGAGCCCCGCGCGCCTGGCTTACCTCCTTCAGCACCAGCACGCACTTGCCCGGTCCCACCGACTGAGGTAGCTCGGCGATTCGGCCTTTGTTCAGGTAAGGGCCCGAGAAACACCTGTGGTTGATGAAGAGCTGCGGACAGCAGTACTTCCCGTTGACAGGGCCTGTGGGGACAGCAGCATAGCTCGCGATGAAGGCGCCCACAGAGACCTGCTCCGACCCACTCAGTTGGCAAAACGACCCAGAGGCCCACTGCGTCTTAGCAGCCGGATGTCTTACAGACACAAGAGCATAAAAATTGGGGTTATTTTTCTGCTACCGTATCAATGAGCTTTTCTGTTTATGATGCAGGATTCAAGACACACAAAGATGTGAAATCAAGACAATGACAGACAACGCATCACTGTGCGGCTGAGGAAAACAAGACGCCAAACAGGAAACACGCTCAGCAACAGAGCTCAGCTCCCCTGGGTTTTCTACTCCAGGAACCCCCCACCTTCTCTTCCCCTAGCCTGAATCTGGTGTTTGTCATTTCCACGCAGGTCTATAAACTTGACCACAAACACTGGTAGGCCAATGCGTGGCATTTCGGGTATTTTTAAAAACGTCCCATAAACAGTTTTCTGCAACCTTTTGTTTGTTCCACCTGAAGTTTCTACAATCCCTCCAATGGTCCACGTATATGAAGAACGTTCATCCTTCTGTCCTTTCTGTGTGTGACCCCATGACACGAATCCAGCGCCAGCCAGCAGTCCACTCTCTTGCGGACGGACGCTCAGTCGTTTCTACTTGCTCGGGATGACAAAGCGCTCTACTAAACACAGCTGTAAACAGCTGCTTCTTCCGGGCAAGAGAGCTTTCCAAGTCCATAACAAGGAGCGGACCTGCTTGGCCGTGGGGGCTGCACATCTTCAGTGTCCCCCCAACACACGCTCAAGTCAATCTCCACATGGACAATACGCTCCCATCAACACTGCACAGAAGCAGCTGCCATCCCACGTCCAAGCCAACACCAGACGTGGCAGGGCGTCTTGGTTTTGCCAATCTCATGGATGTGCCGTGTACCTCCCAGTGGACTGAATCTGCATTTCCCTCATTATGCTTTCCACGTAGCAGGGTCTCAGATAGCCATGGGGAAACGTGGAAGGACTGAATGGCAAGGTATTACCCGAAACCTTCCTGGTGTCTGTAACAGGGTCTCGCTGTCAGCCTAGACCCGCCCTCCCTACATCGTTCCAGCTGAGTTCCGCTAATAGTGGTAACTCTGTACAAAGACCCTCCTTAGTTTGGGACGGTAATTTAACAGGCCCAAAAGGGCTGTCCTCATAGGACTTCAACTAAACACCAAGAGGGAAGGAAGGAGGAGTGTTATTTTTGTGAGGGGAAGACAAAGGGAGTAATACAACAATTACAGGCTCTGAAAGAAGAGCTGACACGGTTCTTTTAAAACCATTCTGAAGTTTGAATTCTATACAACAAAATTAAGCAAAAGAATTATGTCCACAGCTGCATATACATGGAAATTTTTTGGTAGGATTACCCTATCCAGAACTTCAGGGAAAAAAAATATTTTAGTAAGTCTACTCATAAAAATGCTCTCCTTATATAAGTTTGATCGCCAGGATTCTTCCATGCTATAGAGCTTAGAAACCCAGAAGAATTCAGAGCAGTTTTCACTTTGGTTAGAAAACAGAATTCCTTTTTTTTTTTTTTTTTTTAAGATTTTATTTATTTATTTGACAGACAGAGATCACAAGTAGGCAGAGAGGCAGGCAGAGAGAGAGGAGGAAGCAGGCTCCCTGCTGAGCAGAGAGCCTGATGCGGGGCTCGATCCCAGGACCCTGGGATCATGACCAGAGCCAAAGGCAGAGGCTTTAACCCACTGAGCCACCTAGGCTCCCCAGAAAACAGAATTCTTAATCAAATATATTATTTAATGTACAAACACGTCTATAATCAGAGTTGTTGTCCACGGGGTATCCACATTTGTTTTCAAAAGTCATTGTAAGATATAGAACTTCACACATTAAAAAACATAAATTATTCACTCTCAGCTTTCAAACACAGAGGGTTTTAAGGAACAATTCAAAAGCCCACAGGGACTTAAATATTAACCAGTAATGGAAAAATGCAAGTGGGATGACAAAAAAAAAGTGAAAAAAAATATGGGTGCCTAATAATAATATTTGCAATTCTTTCTCCTTGCACATGACCATCTACGACATACATCCCTAACTGGGCTCAAATTTCCAAGGAACACATGGACTCTTCTCCTGAAGACTGAGAGAACGGTCTAGAGCCACTGACCAAGAGACAGAAGAGGCACAGAGAATCTGGTTTAGAATTTTTTTTTTTTAAAGTAGGTATATGTTAATAAGCGGCAAGAGCGACAAGGAGAATGAACTTAAAGTAGAGATATTCTTCTATTGACCTAAAACCACATGCACGTCTCCACTCCCAGATCAGGACAGGATGGCCAGCCGTGGGTGGGTTCGCTTACCTGCGGTGTCCAGGTGAGGGAATAAACAAAGGTCATGAGGTATTTTCTCAACAGGCACTGTGGATGGCAATCTGTTGATCAAGAAAATACAACTATCACGGCTTGCACACTTGAGAAGAAATGCAACGAATGAAATAACTAATTAAATTAATTAAACTAATTAAGTCTTTTCCCAACTTATAGCGACTATCACGGAAATCCAAGCACGCAGTAAAGCCAATGGCACGTCTGCCCCTCATGTGGTCATCCCTGATCAGTGATGTTCTTCTAGGAGGCCCCTGCCTTTGTCTCTTGCTGTAGAATCATCATAATGCCCTTCATTATATTTTAGACACCAAGAAACATCAACTTGCATAAATTTGAATGGAACTCAGACTTCCCTTCGACAGAAGCAGCTAGTACTTTCTACGGACTAATGTCTGAGAACGACTTGGCCTTCGGTTTTTGGTGCCTGTGCTTGTGTGGGTCATGGCCACACTAAAAAGACCCCCAAAGAAAGCCTACGAGCGGACGGGTCCTAGAAAGAGCAGTCAGCCTAGCCTAGAGCAGAGTTTGTGTTCTAGTTCAGTAAAAAGCTGCTGAATAAACACCGAGAATGTAGCCCCAGGGGGAAGAGGTGCGCTGGTTTTCACAGGGCACCCAGGATGGCGGTGTGGAAACCACATCACTGAAAAAAGACACAAATGCAGAGCGAACCATCACGAGATCTCAGTGGGGTCCTCTCTGTGCTGCAAAGTGGGGTCCACACACTCGCGGACCAGTGCCACCCGGAAAAGTGTTAGATGCACAGACGCGCGGGCCCCACTGAAGACATCCTGAGTCGGGGGATTCAGAGACGGGCCCAGCAGGGAGTGTGTCTTATCGAGCTGTCTGGGCGACTGGTACAAGTGCAGGGCGGGGGCCACGGGTCCACGGACCACAGACTGAGGAGTCACGGACTCGGATTTGGGTTCAGTGATGGGACTGTCTATTGTTTGCTCTCAGTTTCAGTGTTATCCAGACCACACCGGAGTCAGATTATTAACCTGCTACACGGCACTTAGACACGAATGCACTGAAAATGCCCACAGAAATTGTTATTCACATTCAAACAGCAACGCACTCATTATTCAATTCATTTTACAATTAAACCTGGGAACCCGAGAAAAATGCTGTTGTTGAATTCACTTCTACTGGTGTATTTTTATTAAGAAAACAGAACCACGCTTCAAAGGATGTGTATTGTAGTGGACATTAGCTGCTCTTCAATATATAAAAATGCTACTAAAAATGGCAAACTTTCAAAAACATAGTCCATGTACGCACACTGCTTGATACCTTTTCTCCCTAAAATTACAACTGAAACCGGGGGTAATGTACACTGAGTTAACCATGACATTTTTGTCATAAGAAATTTAATTTAATCTTCAAGAAACCCCCAAGAAACAGGTGCTTCACACAAGAGGATGCTGAGATGCGGAGTAATAAAGCAGCTTCGAGGACACCTTGCTGGGCCTGCAGAGCTGGCCTCAAACGACAGTCTGCCTACCGGGCCGGCCGTGACCCGTGACGCCAGCATGCGGAGTGTGGGTGGGGAGAGCGAGGTGCCGTCACTCTCCATGTGTGGGGCCAGGATGCCCTCCAGGTGTGCCGACGAGGACCGGGAGGGAGAAACTACAGAGAAGAGATCCCTGGCGGAGCAGAGCCTGTGTCTCGCATGTAACAGGTGCATCAGAAAGACAGGTATATCTACGATCTCCTCTGTGACTGCGCCAACTGTGAACTAACCCCTGATACAAACAGCCGTGCTTCCGATCCTCTGTAAAGATGGCTCTATGGAGCTTAGCACCCCTAAGTTTTGGGAAAAAACAGAAACAGAAACGTACTGTTTTTCTGGTTGTACGACTGCAATCTTTCTCTTCTTTTGTGCTGTAAAACAGGCAAGAAGGGGCAAAAGGACAGTCAGCTTCATTCACAAGTTGGGCAAAGGCATTTTCTAAAAACATCTTCCTGTCGAATGGGGTCAGTATCAAAGTAACAATTTAAGCACTGAAAAGTTACTGCATTCTCCCAACTTTAATTTCCTCTAGCATTAAAATAAGACTTTGACTTGGGGTGCGCGGGGGTGCAGTTGGTCGGGCACCTGACTCTTGGTTTCTGCTCAGGTCATGATCTCAAGGTCGTGAGATCGAGCCCTGTGTCCTTTGCTCTTCCTCTGTCCCTCCCCTCCACGTTCTTCCCTCCCTTCTCAATCTCTCTCTAACATAAATAAATCTAAAAGAGACTCTGACTCATCAGAAATGAAGTCTAAATAGAATTCCCCGCATTCAATAAGATTAAATGGATCACTATGTTTGCATCCTCCGGATAAATACCTAGTGCAATCACAGGGCTGTAGGGTAGATTTACTTTTTTATTTATTTTTAACTTTTTGAGGAAGCTCCATACTGCTTCCAGAGTGGCTACGTAATTTTAACTAACACTTTTGGTAAACATTAGGGTGGAATAAGAAATGGCAAAATTGATTAGTTTTGAAGAGTTTTAAATGGTACGATCTCAGGATAACAACCTACAGTAACCTATGTTAAAACACACACTATTGTATAAATTTAAGAGACAGAGAGACAGAGTTAGCTGCTGGGTTAACTACTAAATACTATTTTAATTTGGTCTTTTTGTGATCAGAAGGATGTCATATTATGTATTTTTCAAAGCAAAGTTGAAATCTCACTGGTTAGTTAGTGCTAAGAGTAGTTAAGTTTTTATACGTTATGTCAGTAATTATTAGGACCAATTATGATTCTTTTAGGGTAAACCTCACAAGAAAAATCAGTTGTTTCTCAGACATGATAGAGAAACAGTATCTGGAGGCTCCTGGGTTGCTCAGTGGGTTGAGTGTCTGACTCCTGGTTTCAGTTCAGGTTGTGATCTCAGGGTCTTGAGACTGAGCCCCCAGTCAGGCTCTGTGCTGAGCGGAGCCTGCTTGAGAGTCTCTCCCTCTGTCCCTTGCCCCTCCCACCCCACTTGCACATTCTCTCTCCCCACCTCAAAAACAGAAACAAAAAAAAAAAAATAAACAAAAAACCCCCCAGGGTATTTAGCTTAAATTTTCTCTAATCAAAATAATGAACTTTAAACTGAAGACTTAGTTTATTTTAAATCTATATATCATTTTATACAATCTTTATAGGTCTCACTGCATTTATTTTCTATTTTGCCTCTGCCACTCCACGGACCTTCACCTGCCATACCATCCTGACTTAGCTTGTCTACCTGTGAGATACTGCCAAATCTCCATCTCGCGAAGGTACTGGAAGCATCCATGAGATAAAAACATTGTTTTTTACAACCTGGCTACAGTCTCTTTACAACACAGTCTATTCACCTCCCAAGCCCCGGACACCGTCCACGCTGGCTCCCACCTGGACGATACTCACAGACGGTTTTGTGTGGTGTGGTCAGAGGGTACGAGTTCGCTTCGCACCAGCCCACAGGGAAGATGTCCATGGACTCCACATCAACAATGAACTCAGGGGAAGGAGTCTGCAGACCTGCATCGGGAAAGTCAAGACAAGAGGTACAGACATTACCACGGAGACCCAGAAGAAAGGAGCCCATCAGAAGCATCACGGAGACAAGGATCTCGCTCCCTGGACAGTTCAGCCGAGTCCAGTCTGATGACAGATACCAGCACATGAAGTACCAAACAGCTGGACTACAAGGGGTGCAAAGAAAGTGAAGATCCAGAAGATCCAAGCTACTTCCTTTGCGGGGGGGGGGGGGGGGGGGGGGAGGGGGGGGGGGAGGAGAAAAGCTGGCAGAGGGAACAAGTCCACCTCTTTCCTAAAAGTATCTTTAAAAACGAAGGAAACGGGCCAGAGCTGGGGCCACCAAGACACACTTCATCTGACACCCAGCAAAGGTTGACCTTCAATTCACGAAAGTTAAGACTACCATGGAAAGAAGCCGCTGGGCAGGGCGACGTGGGTGTTGAGCAGGACACACAGACACAGTTTCTCTGAGCTGGCTCACTCGCGGGTTTGACTGGGGTTACTCATTTTGAACTCCATGGGTGGCCTGCAGGCTTCGGTCATGTTCCACAAAAGCCATTTATGCGGGAGGGTCTTTTCTAGAGGGGTCTGCCTAAAAGTCACCCCGTTTCATGGACCTACTCGCGCCTTGTGATAAACTGTCAGCACAGCTCAGAGACTCTGAGAGAGGAAATCTGCCTGGGAGGTAAGCGAAGCTCTCAAGGAGCTCTGGCCACAGAGGACACAGTTGGAACCCAGCAAACTAGTGAAAAGGAGAAAATTCGATACCGAATCAATAGTTCTTCGGGGGAAAACAGAAAACCCACAGCACTGAGGGAAGACACTCATGAACTACGAATGGAAAGACGTGACCTCTATTAAGAGTCTGACCACCTCCTCTCGCGTTGCCTTGACTGCTTCATGGAGCAACAAGAGAAAACAACGCAGTCAGCACCCCCCCCCCCACGTCACCACTCCGCATCTGAGGAGTTTTCAATCCTACCTCCCCCCAAACTGAATGTCACGAAGCTCAATTCCAGCAGACGCAGAATGGTCCCAACCGCCGTAACGCTGACGTCCGCTGCCTCGGGCCCGCCCCCCCCCCCCCCCCCCCCGTGGTACAGGAGAGTCCGTGAGAAAGCAGCACGCTGCTCCACAGACCTGGTTCCGATCCAGCACTAGCCCAACGCTGCTGCGCTCGCGGCGCCCGAACACGCCGACGCACGCGTGTGATCAGCACCAGTCACTCTCGGCTCTGGACCCTTCCCCAAGAGAGCAAGTGCCATGATTATCAATCCTAGCCTTCTTTCTCCTTAATGCTCCCATAATTTGAAGGGTGCGTAAGCTAAAGGAATGCAAGCAGGTTTGTGGGGATCAGCTCTCACCAGCTGAGTGAATGGAAATCACTTCTGTCTCCCATTACAACTCCACGGGTACTTAATGTACTCGCCAAAGAGACCGCCTAATAAACAAGACCACGTCCAAAACAGACAAGAAGTAAACTCCCTGGGTGGCTTCCACTGTGGAAGTGACCGCTCCTGTCCTGGAGGGCGCCCGGCTCTCTAGAGGGTCTGCAAGCTGTCTTTTCCTCTCCAGACTCACAAGAACAGCACCTGTTTCTCAGCTACTCAACAATTTTGCCAATGGGCTGAATTCATCTACAACATATATATGTATCTCCAGACTTACGTTTAGGTACAAATAAGATTTTCAAGGTCAAAGTAGTACTTCGAAAAGAAGCAAAAGGTGAACTTGATGGCCTGTTCCTTCCTAAATCATGACCTTGATCTTCCAATATTCTGCTGGCTCAAACATCACTTGCTATTATTAATGCTTTAATATATACACTTCCAAAGCAATGTATACAGTATTATATTTATATGGCTGTCTCTACCATGCTTTAAAATTCTTGATTCATGTTCTACATTCAAAACAAATATTTACGAGCTGCAACGTGACAGCGACTACATCTTCAAGAAAGTTAAAATCCTGCCTTCCCTGCACCTTCAAATCTAACCCATGAAGGCATCCATTGGATAGGAACAGATGGAAAACTGGGTTATTTATCTCCCAGAAACATTTTCCTGACTGTGAAACTTTTCCAATCCTATTCTGAATGATGGGCATCGATTCCTTATGTCCTAGGAACTAGGACATATCTACAACTAGATACATCTGGCTGGACTCGGAATAATCTTTATAAAAAATAACCCACTATTTTCCAAGACCAGCGACCCACTAGCTTACAAAATAATCCATTACAAATGTATGCGATTCTCCTTGATTATTCCAGGGTTTCCAAAACTACCTATACAAAGCTTAGTGGACAATGCAATAGTCTTACCACTTTAGAGGACACCCTCTGTGAAAAACACAAGGTCATGCTCAACCCTGGAGTTCATTTTAGCTGCATCCGTCAATAAGAATTCTACTTGCTTATCCTTATCCAGAACCTTCATCTCAAAAACCACCAAGAAGCCTCAATCTCTATCTATGGGGAAGTACTTCAATAAATTCTGGTACACCGTATGACGGGATCTTCTGCCATTGTAAAAAAAGGATGAGAAACCTCTTTATGTACTTATATACAAAGATGTATACGTATATGTTGAATCAAATAAAGGCAGAGTACAGAACACTGTGGATATGTAGTATACTACCATCTGTTTAAAAAAAGGGGGAAATAACATATATTTATATGTGCATAAGACAAATCTGGAACAAAGTGTAAAATTCTAATACAGTGGGCGTCTGCTGGGAAAGGAACTAGGGCACCGAGGGACGGGAGCAGGAGTGGGAGAGAGACTCTGACACTTTCATGTATTTTTGGCCCTTGCAAATGAATCAACTAATTTATAATCACAAACTTACTATCACTACAATAATCACACAACACAAATGCTCCAAGAACAAAAAGAGTCTCACGCACAGACCCTACTGCCACAGAGGCCAGATTAATGACGGGCAAGTGACCGTAACAGGAAATAAAACCACACTATGATGAATCATTTCGCTAAGAGGACAGAAATGTTCCATATTCACAAAGCATGTAAATTTGTTAAGAGTCACTTTGGAACCTTAAAATAGTTCTGCCATGTGCCACGTCCAGAGACTGTGTCATCCCCTCACTGGATACTGTTCCCTTCCACAAAGTTGTACCTGGCCTCCGGAAGAGGCTTAGGAAGAGAATCAGAACCAGCCCCACACTTCTGTTAAAAGGTGGGAAAGGAAGAAAAGCAAGAGGTATTTAAGGAAGCAAGGTAGCCTTGCTCAGTACCCTCATTCAGAGTCAAAGGCCACAGCAAATGGGGACGGGCTCAAGCACGGGATGGAAAGATAAGGTGTTGGAGAGGGAAAGTGCTCCGGTGATCTGAGTGCCAGAAACCCCAGGGGCCATCCGCCCGTCTCCTTCCACCTGCAAAGACCCACCTACCAAGCCAGACTGTCACGTCCCTTTGTCAGCCGTGGAGCCATATTTCTAAGGAGGAAGCAGGCAAACGGTGGGCAGCGAGATCAAATTGTGATAGGGAACAGGCGGTCTGGAGGGAAACTACAGAAGTGGGATCAGATGTGTGAGTGGAGAGAGAGACGCCTGTAGGACTACAAACTTGCAAGCACTGACATCGGGCCCGACACTGCCCCGAATGTTTAATCTTTACAACGACACTAAGGGATAGGGACCAGACACAGCCCCATTTTACAGATGAGTAAGCTGAGGCACAGAAGATGATTGAAGAGCAGCGAGGGGTGGATCCACGACTTGACCCTAAATAAGTCTAACTCCAGAGGCGTCTCAGATGACCTCCTCCTTTCTCTCGTTCTTGTTTCGGTTTGGGGTTTGGATTGGCTGGGTCTATTTGGCATCGTCCCATTCCTGTTCGGGCCTCACATCCCTCCTGCAGAGTTCCCCAGATAAGGCAGTCACCACCGCCTCCCACAGAAGGGGAAGAAGCCAGACCTGCCCTCAGTGTGGGCAGAAGACAACAGGAAGGCAGTCGGTCAGGCGCCACAACCATCCCAAGGACAAACTCTGCGTGGGTTCCTGCAGCAAAGCCTTTGGAGAGGTGCTCCCCCAGACCCCCATCAAAAGCCTTCCCCCGCAATTCGCATCTTGCCTAGGAGAGCTGGCCCATTTCTGCTGCTGGTCACCAAGAACCCATCTAATCGAGCATCAGCTTTGGGAACAAAACAGATTTGGGAGGATTAAAAGCCTGTGCCCACAGATAGCTCCCACTCTCCAACCGCCCTCTTTAACGTGCAGGAAACATTGCTCTCAGCCCGATCTGCTGAGGCAGCTTCTCCCAAAATTGTCTCATGCAGGCAATACCTCCTTCTAAAGATTTTAAAACCACCCACACTGGCTTGAAATAGAATTACTTACGCATTTGCATTTTCCCTTGTTTGACTTTTGCAAGTCTCTGCGAAATGCTTATTAACCACCTGACTTTTCCACGAAGTACAGAAGGGCTTAAGGGGCAGTTTTCCGCACCTGGTCTCCTACCCATAAGGGGTTACGTCAACACAAGTCCCTTTAAACCATGCCACACCTCACCCATTAGATCTCAGAGTCCTTTATGAACCCCAGCGCACGCAGAAGTACCATCTGCGGAGGGTGACACCCAAATGCAGACTCTGGTCCCTGCCTGGGACCCCGAGGCACCAGGTCTGAGGAAGGTGCAATTTCACGGGATTCCCGTAGATTTACTGGAACTGACCCAAGCATAGGAAAAAGCTGGCCAGAGAGATTCTGAATGTTAACTTACATATATAAAATATCTCACTGGCTCAAAATTCAGTTGGCAAGAGAGCAGATCTTTTTGTTTGTTTTACATTTAATTAACCAACATATCATTATTGGTTTCAGAGGTTCATTCAGTTGTAATACCCGGTGCTCACCACATCACGTGCCCTCAATGCCCATCCCCCAGTTACCCCATCCCCTACCCATCTTCCCTCCAGCAACCCTCAGTTTGTTCCCTAGAGTTAAGAGTCTCTCATGGTTTGTCTTCTCTGATTTCTTC